GTATTAAAGCAAACATGCATAAAGTGCATATAACTTGTTGCTTTTTTGCACTTCCCCCATTTTCCCCAAGCCATTTTGCTATTAAAACACAAAGTTATCTCCATCTTTTAAAAGCAAGAAATATTTAACAAGTGATTTTACCTTTTCACTCCCACCTCCACCTTTCACACTTCTCATATTGAACTTCTTGACCTCTTCTTTTACTTCTTCCATATAAGCATCTAAAGGATCTAACTCCTCATCTTCAACCTCATTGCCTTCTTTTTCTCCTTCTGCAGTTTCCTCTTCATCATCTAGTAAGAATGAAAAAGATGGGGATAAGAGACAGAGAAAGACACAAGTCCTTACAAATTATTGTCCACCCAAATAACTACAGCCCATTATATTACTATATAATTTTTCCTCATACAAATCTCTCCAGTTGGTTTACCAAAAATGTATCTTAAACCACCTGATACCATGACCAGATCTGGGATTTTTTATTTTACGGTTCGCATTCTGAAGAGTAATTAGATGCTTTAAAGATACTGTAATAAAAATATTACTAGGAACAGAAGTATTCTGTTATATATAAAGAGGTTAAATACCATCATCATCTTCTAAACTCCATTTTTTCCCCTGTTTCATCTCTTCAATTTCTTTTTTTAGCTCTCCTATGTTTTCCATTGCTTTCTTGCGTTGCTCTTCCCTCCATTTCTCCACTCTTTCTTTTCGTTTTCTCATTTCTTCTTCTAGTTTGTTCTGATCAAAATTCTATGACAAAAACCAACCAAAAAGTGAAAATTAATGGCCACTGGCTTTATCCCATGCTTCCTGAAACAAATGTAACCACTGAGTGAGCAAGCTGTAGAAGACTGGATATCTACAAACTTCCTGGTTTAAATTCTTTATCTTTTAAATTTACAAGTGTTAGAAGTCTCTACCTCAGTGGCCACAGCATTTGTGGTAGCATCTTTATCTTTCTCTTCCTCTTTGTCATCTTTGTCTTTTTTCTTTTCTTTGGAAATTTCCACGCCTTCTGTCTTTTCTTTAGATCTGGATCTGAAAGGTAAGATCAAAGGTTTCTTAGAACATTACAACTTTTCTCAGCGGGAGGATACATATATGATGGACAGAAACAGAATTATAATCACCCTGTTACATTTTCAAACACCTCACAAAACACAATGCTTCCTAGACAATCCTTCCATGTCGTGGAACTACTTCCTCTAACTACCAGTAATATAGACTCTAACTCAATCCAGCAATTCACGTGCTTTTGTCATTTCTTCATTTTCAGAGCTCTTACAATTGATACTCCAGTTGTTCTGCGCTTTATTTTACATCTCCTTGAAGTCAGCATTTAGAAAAGAGAACAAATTTCCTGTTTGTGGAATTTCTAGAGAAAGGTAAAGTGATCTAGCATCTTGCCATGGAAGTGTGAGCATCCCCCTAAACACACTGTCCAGGCTGACAGACAAAAGCTCTTCTCCATGGGAAAAGCTACTCATGCAATGCAAACATAACAGGCAGACTTGCACTGAATATAAAAACCATTTATAACAGGCTTTATTGTACTTACTTGCTTCCAATTTAACAGAAAGCATCTAAATCTAACTTGTGCTAGCTTATGACAATAAATATAAAATTCCCTTTAGCTGATTAAATATCATTAAGTTGTTTTTTTTTTTTTGGACTATTCTGATACAAAACATACACTTATTCCCAAAGCTTTTGTGATTCCAGCTTGTCATGATTTCTAGAGTGCCATCACTACTTATGCTGTATACAGACCCTTGTTATCATTTACAGACTTCCCACTCATTTTACAGCAGAACCTGACTATATGCTGTATTCAATTATATCAGAAAACCTTATCAAGATATATTTAAAAGACAATGACCTGCAGTAAGCTTTTACACATTTCTAAAGCTAAGAACACAAGAGTACCTGTTTTCTGCTTTCCTGTTCTTGCTTGGACTGGAGGATCGAGACCGTCTCCCTCTACTCCTGCTCCTTGAGCGCCTCCTCTCTCGGCTCCGGGATCGTCTTCTCTCTCGGCTCCGTTCCCTTTCTCTACTCCTTGAACGTCTGACATGCAACAAAAATGTCTTTACTTAGCACATGCTCATAGCATAACTTTAGCCTTCTGTTGAGGAACAGGTTGTAAAAGAAACCCACCAATCATCAAGACCACTAAGAACTTACAAACTCCAGCATCAGCAAGCATTTAATAAGGAAAAAGCCTTAAGCATAGTGAAATCCATCACAGACATCAGCAAAGTAACTAACTGGCGTGGGAGAACATCAATATTCAGTCACTTCCAGGCACTTTGGCTGGAGCTGATGTCATACCTTTGACGCTTTCTGTCCCGCGAGCGAGATCTTCTCTTGTCCCTGCTGCGCGACCTCTCGCGCCTGCGATCCCGGTCCCGGCTCCTGGAGCGCCTGTCCTCGCGCTTCCTCTTGTCCGACGGGGAACGGCTCCTGGAACGGCTCCCGGAGCGCCCCCGGGACGCAGAGCGCTTCCGATAATGCCTGCACAGTCAGAGTGTGAGCATCAGAACCGTGTACAGCAAGCAAAAAAAATTACCTGAATTTCCTGGACTTTTTAAATGTCTAAACTCTTGCAATCATCTTGCCCAAGTGATTAATATACAAACTATATGTATAGCATACATAATATGCATATACACTCTTAATGACGCTGAAATTAGAAGGATTGTTGGGTCATGATTTTCTTTTAGAGTACTATTATAAGCACATCATGAGAACACCAGAACATCAAGAACAATTTCCTTTTCAGAAATCCACTGATTTCTATTTTATATACAGGAAAAGCTGAAGGCTCTTTGAAGCTATCCAAAAATCTGTCAGGCAAACAAAACTGCTCTTTGTTGCTTTTTACACAATAAATGTTTACCCATGTAAGGTAGGTGAACTACAGCTCTGCTCAATGGGAAAGCTGTCAGACTGGAATTAAACAAACATAAAGCCCTGAGGAAGCGACACAGCTGTGGTCAATGCCTTCACCATGCTGACATCAACAGAAATTCCTTAGTTTCAAACATCACAACAGAAGCTGTCAGAAGTCAGCAAGGCTTGAGGAGTGTGATGGAGATGGGTGTCTCCTTTCCTCCCCTCATTAATGCTCTTATCCCAGCCACACTGTGGGGCAGAGCAGGGCTAGGAATTTTCTAGGAAACTCTTCAACTGAGTGTAGAAGTCACAGAAGGACCTTGACTGTGACCATTTCCTCTTCCTCCAGTCCCAGATTTTCAGACACCATGCCAGAAAAATTCCTTTGTTCACTCTCCTGTGGCTCAGGACCCACAGACCCTTTCTCCTGACAAGCCCAGTAGTCATGCTTGAGAAGAAGGAAGAAGCAGAGAAAGCAAGACTTTAAGCCCCCCACTCTTTGTTTCACTTCCATGGTAGTATTAAAATAGTTCAGCTCTAAAAATAGCAGTATATTTATATCTAGTCTATGTTATGTTATATATTTAGGCAGCACAAGCACTTGGAGTTAGTACAGTTGCACATACCCACATCCTGCCTATCAGCAGGATAACTGAGTGCAAAGAACATCCATCAGCACTGAGATTTTTTATTTCTTTCCATCTGCATCACAAAATGCCATGGGATCTGCTCTATACTTCCTCTTTTTCTAATATTTTAGTTTTAGAGAACTACTTTTGTCTTTATTTTTTCCTCTACAGCGTGCAATAAAGCCCAAAAGATGATTTCAGGTTGCAGAAACCCCAGTGTGACAACATTTCTTCACACCAACCCCAACACATGCAGCCCCCACCCATCTCCACCCACCATTCACCCTCACCCTCTTACCGTATCTTCACTTTTAAAACTTTTTGTATGTTAAATAGAAAATTAATACAAGTTTAAACCCACTTTTAACATTATTTTTAGCCTAAACAGAAGAACCCTGTCATTTTCAGCAGAGAAGCTATACTGTGACAAGCAACTGAGTCCTGCTGGCTGGAGTGCCAGAGCCTGGCTTTCCATTCAGGAGGCTCTAAGGCCCTGTACACCCACTGCTGCCCCAGCTCATCTGGAACTAATTTAAATAGATCTGTGGGAGTGTCTGCTCTGCACTAGATCACTAATTTGAGCCTAAGGTCGTTGTTAAAATTTCAAGTCGTGTCTCTCAGTGTAAATCTCCGTTACAGTCCTGGGAGTGGTTACAGTGTAGTACAACTTTACGTGGGGACTGTCGTGTCAGCTTTAGTATAAAAATCTGATTAAACCACGAGACAGAGGCATATGCCCGACAGCACCAGCAAACTGTGGAAGCGGTTTAAAGCCTGACAGGTGTGAGCTGCTCCGTATCATCTGGAGCACAGGTTTGGCCCGAGGCACACGCAGCACAAGGGCACATTACTGCCGAGCTGCTTACAACCCTGATCAGGTCTTTACATCAGCTGGGAGAAGGCAAAATATACGTGATCCACAAATACCAAAGGCACAAGCAAAAACATCTAAACCAAGCTAAGCCCCCTACGTGGCTCATTACGACATTTTGGAACAAGCCCGAGAAGGCCGGAGGTGCTCCGGGAGCCGCAGGGTCGGTGCCGGTGAGCCCCGCAACTCGGACCCACCCAGCGTTGGGACCCTCGGCCCCGGCCGGAGCCCCGAGTGCCCGGTCCTGCCCTCAGGGCCGGCTCCAGGCCCGGGCCCTGCCGTGGCGGCCTCAGCGCGCCCGCCGGCCGGGAGAGCCCGCGCCACCCTTTGTCCCCCTCACGGTCGCCTCACCGCGCCACCACCCCCGAGCGCGCCGCGACCCCGGGCGGGCGAGGCGGTGGTGCCGCTCCCTCACCTGGACTCGCGTCCCATGGCGGCGGCGCTCCCGCTACACGGCGGCGGCCATCCCGCGCCCGCACGGCGAGAGCCCGGCGGGGAGCGCCGCCCCTTCCGGCCCGCGCCCCGCTCCAGCGCCCCCCGGCGGGCGGAGGGCGCAGCGCCGCCCCCGGCCCGGCCCAGCCGCACACAGCGCCGAGGAAGCGGGTAACAAACAGACTTTTAATAGAAAACAATCGGCAATAAACATGAAACAGAATTATGTACACTAACAGAGGTAAGTTAAAAACGGAATCAAAGAAGAGATTGGTTTCTTGGTCAAAGGTCGTTTCTTGATCGCCATTTCTTCATCGAGATTTCTTAATTAAGCACAAGCCCTCCTGGTGCTCTGCCCATGCAAGGGTATTTACCTGATTAATGGTGAGGATTAAAAATTCATAGTTTTTTGCAGGTACTGGTATAGGGATTTTTTTCCAATTTATTTGTATTACATTTGGGCATATAAATAGAGAATCAGAACAAGTAATTTTTGAGCAAACTCATTATTTACATATCTCAACCTTATCTTAAATTACTGTAATTTCAATTTTCTGAAATGACTACCTAATATAAATAAACTTAAAGCTGCTGAATCAATATCTGTGCTAACAAACCTAAGTCAGAATTTTCTGCAACCCAGCCCTGTACATCTGTAATATAATACTCACCATAACAACCAGTTAAAAAAACCCCATGAAAATGGTCAAATCAAAACATAAGGTTCTTGTATGGAAGCCACAAACATGTACCTAATTTAAAAGTCAGAAATGCATCACTAAAATTACAGGAGGAAGCTTTGACAGAGAATAATCAGCTGAAAGCTGGGCCATTTAGAGAGGTACGATTAAACACATCTGCTCCCTAAAAAAACCTCTGCAGGCAAATACCAAGGTAAGTATGTGGTTTATCATGCTAAAAATAGGCAACAGCCTATACTACCTCAAAGTCCAGATTTTAAACAGAAAACTACAACCTGAAAAACTACCAAATTTAGCTTCAATAGAGATTTTCAGAGATGTATCAGTGTTTAAATTGACTATTTGGAATGACACTTCCTCTCACTGTGCAAAATTCCTAAGAGATTGAAAACAAAACTGTTTCCCTTGTAAGTTTTACAAACACTAGAGCAAAGATTCAATACTGCAGGTTGGGTGCCAATATGTAAAATTCTCCTACTGAGAACATAAGATAACTGTTAATATAAAAAAAAAGTATCAGAAAGCACAGATGTGAACTGCACTAGGATTAGGTTGCTGGAAACTCATAAACAGATGTGATTAGTTGTCTTTCTTCTTACTTTTTGATTAATGACCTTTATAAGCACCAGGACCACCTGCTTGTTGGTTTTGCCTAGCTCTTTTCCACAACAATAATCAAATTAAATTAATCACAATCACAACAAGTAATGTATGGCAAGGCAAGGATAAGGACAACAAAGTGGCAAGTTTCACCAACATTCTCCAGAAGCAGCTACTTAGTTCAACATTCTGAACGTGAACATTTGAAGAGAATACAGGGATTTCTTTTCTTTTGAGCTTTCTTTAAAAAATGGGAACACCACAAAATGAGCAGGTCTTGTTAGCTATAGTCATACAGGATATACACATATATATATGGTTCTGCTGAAGGGAATTCTCTTCTTGTTCTCACTGAAAAAAACAAAGGCAGCTTTGTAAATGTTTATGAAGGAGGCTGAGAAGGGCATCATCTAACTAAAACAAGTAAATCATCCACTGTCACTTGCATCCTAACCTTCACATTTGTAATATGCAGACACAGTATTTAAGTAAACTGAACCAACACAACTGGCAGTCAGGGACCCTGCTCTCCCTTTCCCAAAATTACTGGATTTAAGGCCCCTTTCAATCATTCCCACAGGTAAGAATTTTAATGAAGGTTTAGACCTGCCTGCACAGTCAAATGTTAAAAGGAACACAGTCCAGAAAGCTTTAGTGTAGCTACTGTGTGGAATTCTACAGCCGTCATGGTGCTTCAGAGCCAAAAACCAAAGTAAGTTCATGGCAAAAGATAAAAGTAAAGAAATAGACACAAAGGTCTGTGAAAACATCTCCCATTTTGCTGTAGGTGTCCATGGAGCGACTGATCACTTCTGCAGGGATTCCAGAGAGGAGAAGAGCAGCAGTCAGTACTGTTGTTTTCACCTTCTTCTCACACTAGAGGGGAAAGAAAAACCAGTATCACATTAGTTCTCCTAATCCAATTCTGCTTTACATGTCACCAATGTTGTACCAATTTCACATGATCCAAATCTGTTGGTAGGAGCAGCAGGTTTGGATGGATTCTGTCCAGACGTGCTCCAGGAGTCACAGCCCTTATCCTAGACACAGATTCCTGCTGTGATGGATCTACCAGAGCAATGGATCTACCAGTGAGAGGCAGAATTCATCCTGGATATTCTGCCTCCTTCACACTACTTCTCCCAGCAGGCTGAGATGTGAGGCTGGGCAGCTGCTCCTGCATGAGTGGGGACTTCCCAGACAAGGGAAATCTAGGTGTAAGAAGCCAAGCCTGGCTTCTCCACTGTCAGAACTGGATTAATCTCATCACACTATTCAGCAAAAAACAGAATCCCAGAATGGTTTGAGTTGGAAGACACCTTAATGCTCATCTCATTCCAACCCCCTGTTATGGGTAGAGACACCTTCCATTAGACCAGCTTGCTCAAAACCCTGTAAATACTGTTAAGTTTTCTAACAGAAAAATTATTTAGAGTTGAAAACCAACTGTTTCTGTTTTAGAACAACTTACTTTGGCAGTTTTATCCTCTGAACTCAGAAATGTCCCAAAACCTTTTGAAAGCTGTTCCATCCTTAAGATGAGGAATCCCAAGGATGCAAGTCTGACAGGCAGGAAAAGGTGACAGTGGCTGAAAATTCTAATAATTTGATCATACTTGCTGGATATTTTAATTTAATCCAATCTGAATTAGGCTTTCAAGAATACTTCTGTGTTTCATGGGAGAAAAATGAAGGTTAACAAAGGGATTGACCTCACCCACCCACGTCTAACTGCAGTAAAAGCAAGTTGTGGCAAGGAGCCACGTTTTGAATTCTGAAATTGAAGAGTGGATTTTAAGTATACCAGAAAAAAGATCAAAATAATGTAGCAGATGAGCTGGTGCAAATCTAAGGCTAATCTTACTGTTTTGTGTTGTGACACATCAGCTTAGAATGACTATTATAATATACTTACTACAAAACAACTGCTGATTTATTCTGATTTTCTACAAGTAATCTATTATTCCTTTTAAAATGTAAATTTTCCCTTTTAACTATGGATTGAACATCATTCAATCCCACTCTGCACCACAGACCTGACAAAATCATCAACCTAACAAATGCTTCAGGAACAATTACCTGTTGTAAATATATAAAGCAAGTGGTATAGCAAATCTTGCTAATAAGCAGCAAGTTTCACACACAGATAAATGTCTCATTTCAAGCTGCCATTCAAACCAATACCAGCACTGGAATGCAGAGCCCTTAAAACTCAACATTCTGCCTCATTTTTTTAGCAAACACTCTCCCAGATGTCATCCAGATATTATATGCAGAACAGCTGCTTAGCAAAGCAAATAATAACCAGGGAAGAGCATGGTCTAGAAGAAAAGCAAGTTTCCTGAAGACATGAAAGAACTACCTGGATTTCCTGGTCAAACACTTTTAATTAGGCTACAGCTACACAAGCTGCTAGTCCATGTTTTCACTGCAACTTTAAAAAAGATCCTGGATTGAATCTGGAAAGATTAAAAACTAGTATAAACTATCAGCATTGGTCATTCAACTCTACAGTTCAAAACAAGAGAAGAATACTTCACATGCATTGGTCCTAAAATAATACAATCTAAACACAAGTTTAAATTGAAAACACTTCAAATTAATCTAATTCTGAAAAAAATTACCTTTGGAAAGTACTTGGACAGTCCCATGTAAGCAAGTTGTAGAGTAAGAAATGGTGCAAATATTGACTGAAGGAAGAGAAAAGAATATATAAAAATTAACTTGGTCAGAATAGCTAAGAAACACAAAGATTTAATTCTTCCAAAGCATAAAAGAAAATTAGTAAGTAAAAATTAATTTGTGGAACACAGCAAAGTTGTTACTGAACACTGCAAATCTAAGTAGACAATTTACATGCCAAAAATAAGGTTCTGCCCTATATTCCTTGAGCCTAAAGAACTGAAATGGCAGAAGAGAACAGCAGAGTGTAAAACTGAGCCCAGTGTGTAAAACTGAGCCGAGGGATGCAGGAGCTGGACGGCTGTACCTGCATCACACCTCTGTGCTGTTGTTCTGGCTGGCACTGGGAATACTGAGGAACTACTTTTCCCAGGGTGATAAATGAGCAGGATCTTCTTATGTTGGTACAACTGTTATTATTAGAATCACAGAATTATGTGGGTTGAAAGTGACCTGAAAAGCCATCTCATTCCAAACCCATGGGCAGGGATACTTTCCATGAGACCAGGTTGCTCCAAGCTCCAACCAGCCTGGCCTTGGACACTTCCACAGATGAGAACTCTATTCTTACTCTATTATTCTTTTGCAGACCCTGAACTAGAGGAGCAGCTGACTCATATGCTCACCAAGATGGGAATAAACTTGCAGGGGATTTAAGCTGCAACAACTATTCCAGTGCATCTGCTCCTGAACCACAACCAAATGTGCTGCTCTCAGTGGTTACACAGTGGCTGTGTTTGTAGCAGATTAATCTCATAGAATTCAGCAATTTTTTAGGTTTTGTACAATTTTTGGAAATGTAAAGAGTGCCTGAAGTTCCCAACTTGGTCATTACCAACAGACTTCAGCCCCGGATATTTCCCAGTAATTTGCAGCCAGCAGACACCCCAGCAGGACTGTGTCCCTGAACTCACCAGGTACTTGCACACAAAAGCCCTGACGGCGATGGCGAGCAGAGCACACCCCACCAATCGGAAAATGCGGAAAGAGTCAAACTCCTCCGCCGCATTCCCGTTCTCCTGGCTTGGCTTCTCACTCATCAGCTGGTTCCTCAGCTTCAGAGCTTCATCAAACCTGGACAGGTACTGCTCCAAGCCGTGCCTGGGTGGCCGTGCCGCAGCCTCGGAGGGCAGCTCTCCCCGGTGACGCTGACGGAGCTCGCCCGTCCCCTCGGTGACCAGCTCTGGGGCTTTGCCAAACAAGTCCTTGTCCCCTCTGAGCTCTGCCATGCTGCCTGCGTGATCGGCCGAGCCCGTCACATTACACATAGAATCACCAAGCACAATCCGCTTGGAAACTGAAGGAATGGGAAGGGAGTTTGATTTATCTTGCTCGTGCTGAAGCTTCAATTCTGTGTGACTTTCGTCATCTAAGGAAGAAAAATAAAACCAGAGTTATGCACGCCATGTACATGGAGCAACACTTCAGCTGTACTGGGTCAGGATCCTGGGTCTCTGCTTCCCAAGAGAAAAGACAGATTTACGATTAAAGAGGGCACTCTTCATGGAGCAGACACAAGACATAAAGCTGTGCAATGCAGGTCAGAAGTTGAAGCAGTGGAGATATTAAAACTGACCTTCCTTAAGCAACAGCACTGCACATACAAGCAGAAAGATCCAAATACATGGATTGACATTAAAAAAAAAAAGACAAAGATTTGCAGAAAGTTAATCAACCAGAAGAGCACAAATACCTGACAAATAAGCAAAGAGAAGCACTTCAGCTTGCTGTCTACTGTCAGAGGCAGGGCACTGTTAACCTGCTCTGTATCAAGCCTGAAGACCCATCTTACAGAAAAAGTGATGGCAGAGAACAAAAGGCAAATCAAGAACGCATCTGGACCTACCACAGAGCAAGAACTAACACTTCAGGAGTGCTTTTCAGTGTTACATCAGACTGATTCACAGCTCATGGGCATCCTTGTAAACCGAAATCTGAGAACTCCTTCCTGACAACACAGCCCATTTGAAGAATGCACAGAGATGTAACTGAGCTACCTAAATATGGTTCTGCAAGAAAATTCTGCATAACAACCACAAACATCTATGTCACTATCCAAATGTGAGATAATTTTGCTATAAAAAGCCAGCTATGAAAGCCAGCATATACTGACTAAAAACATGGGGGAGGCTCATCGTTTCTTCATCTAAAAAAAAACCGACTTGCAGTGAAATGACAGCTGGTATGCTCGCTATCTAGGGACCGTGTCGAGCCCGAGCCCCGGCCTTTCTGACGGCACAGGGATTTTATGGGCGTGTCCCTGGCGGAGCAGGGCAGGTCGTGCTGCTTGAGGCATCCCTACGAACGAAGGCGGCACTGAGGGACCGGGGAGCTAGCCGGCCCTGTCCGAGGGCAACCAGCCGCTCCTGCTCACCAGGGACCGCGGGCAGCGGTCACGGCCGGAGAGGCCGAGGCGTCACCGCAGCCCCGGAGCCCTCACACAGCCCCGCCGCACCCGCCACGGGGCTCACCCTTGCCCGCCGCGGGTCGGTGGAAGCCCATGATGCGGTTGATCCGCTCCTCCGAGTTCATGAGCAGCTTCCTGCGGCGCAGCTCTGCGCGGCGCTGGGACGCCGAGAGCCCCGCGGGGGGCCCCGGCGGTGTGGGCTCCGCTCCCGCGCCGCCGTCCGCCATCCCCGGCACCGCAGGCCCGGCACCACGGGCCCGCCCCGCCCAGCGCGCAGGCGCCAGCACCGCCCGCCTCCAGCCGCTGAAGAAGGCGCCGCCATTTTTTGTAGGGGCAGGAGAAGGGCGGGGAGCGCTGGGAGAGACCTCCGCGCGCCCCTCTCTAACGGCGCGGCGCCCGCACTAAAGATGGCCGCGCCGGCCTCAAAAGTGGTGTCACGGCGCGAGGCCGGGAAGGCGCGATGGTGGCGCTGAGGGGACCCGGGTGACGGGGACACCCCGAGGCAGCGCGGGGCTGGCCCGCTGCATACGCGGGAGAGCCTGCGAGCCTGGCACTGTACCGCTGCAGGACTGGCGGGGCACACTGAGGAAACGCCAACAGACAGCACCGCTCCAGGCCGCCAGAGCCACTGGCATTATAGAACGAGGACCTGACTTCTTTCCAGTAAGATCCAGCTGGCGCAGTATTCATCTTTGTGGGCACTAAACCTCTCCTCGTGTGCCAGGTGATGAAGGTGCCACGTTACTCTTGCCTCAGCCGCGGGGTCCCGTCAGCAGCAGCGCCTGGCACGGCCGGGCTGCAGGGCCCTGCCCGGGAACGGGAGATCCCAGAGCCCCGGAGCCCTGCTGCAGTGCTGGAGTCAGCAGCACAGTGCTGTGTGCATTGGGAAGAAAACAGCTGGCAAATCCAATTCATATTCCTACCACACTGAATGAGAGAATTCTGTATTTTAGTTAAATACAAAAGTCAGTTCCAAGCTCATGCGTTAGCTCATCTATAATGGGCCAGAGGCAGCAGTGACAACATCTCAAAAAAATTTGCAAGCGTTAAGATGGAATGGCTTTTACAAAAAAAAGCTGCTGAAATAATGGGATGTTCAATGAAGATACAGGATTACCTAAAATAAAATTGATCAGCATCTTGGAATGCTGCTGAAGGCTAAATTCCAACCATCACTGTCAGCTAGCTCCTGTGACCAACGTGGTATTTCTCTCAATTAAATACATTGTTCTACTTTTATTTATAAGAAAAAAGTGATGGACTGGCATGAGTTCTTTCAATTAATTTTATTGAGTAGCCAAATCTGATAAATTAGCACAGATAAAATAAGCATTTGCATGTGTTATAAATGACTTTTTACAGGAATAAAACAGTGAAAATTACAAACTGTAAAAAGGAGGACAAGTAAATCCTGTCTCAAATTCAGAAGGGGGAAGATTTATAACTTCATACTGAAGATCAAATCTTTGAGTTCAGAGAACAAAGATTTAATATTACAATATTATACACTACTTTACAAAATTAAATTTACTATAAGGATTACATCCATAATAGTCAACAGAACCTTAAAATCACATTTAATGGTCCCTTAACTTAACAGCCATTCTGCATCTTTGATTAAATTGTTAAGAAATTAATTCTAAATAAAATCATTCTAGTTATTGCAACATAGTCTATGTGGACTTAAACTCAAATATATTAATTTAAAAACAATAATGAAAGCAAAGTAAAATGGATGGTAACAATGTTGGCTGAACACTAATGTGTCAAAATAAGAAACAGTTTTTTTAAAAAGCATTTGACTACAGAGAGACACACCTTTACCACACATTTACGGTGGTGGAGTTGTGGTGCTGAGATCTAAGTACCAGAACCACTCTTGCAGTCCATCTTCAGTGTCCTCATTTTTTAATGGTTTGTATAAAAGCAATCACAGGTGTGTGTGTGTTCATGTTCCCTGTATTGCCATTACAGCAGTACCAGTGAGCCAGCAGCCTCCCCCACTGCAAGGGAATAAACAAAGTTCAATAGAGAATTTCTTCCAAAGTGAAGAGAACTCCCAGAGGGCTCATCTCACTCATTTATCATGTTTTGCTCTGTAAAACTTAGGGACTCAACTTCAAACCTGTTAAATGCCACAAAGACTGACATCTTCAGCCATTAGTCTGGTGGACACAAAGCAATGAGGCCATCTCCAGTATTTATGTTTCTTTAAAAAAGGGATATAATAGCAAAATACAGTCATAGGAAGAAATAGACTTTGGGTGGGCTATTTGATGCAAGGATGGTTTTCAATTCAACATCTGAATGATAATATACCCAAAACACAAGGTTTAGGGCAGAACCTATGCAAGTGCAGAGGTTCCATTTATGTTTTAAATGAAGAGACCTCTTTCCCCCTCCCTGGGGAAAAAAATAAAAAATCAGACTGTCAAAACTTAAAAGACACCTCTTCACTATGACTAGAAACTGTGCAATTCTCTGAAAAGCAGTTCAAGTAAATATATTCCTGTTTGCTACAGAAGCAGCAGACAGGGAAGCTTAAATTGGTTCTGTAATAATCTTTTCACGCTGTTTTAGCCATTGTTCTGAACTTTAGCTTCTTGTGCTCAAGAACAATTTCTCCCAAGGAACTCCTCCCCTGAGGTGAGGCAAATCCTGACAATCACACGCAGCTACAGCCTGAAATGGGAGCAAATGTTTACCCAGATGTTGACCCTACTGACATTTGTATCTCCAGATGTCCTAAGCATAGTACATGTGACCACTCACAAGTGTTTTACCTCTTCAAATTACCTGCCCCAGAAAGTAGGTTTTGAAAGACCTTTATGTTTACCACTATTAAATAAAAAAGCAAACCAAGATTTTTCCATATGCAATACTTCCATGGGCATTGGAATACTGTAACTTAAATACCTTTTACATTGGTAGCTATCAATGATAGCTTAATCTTGAAAACAGAAGAATTATCAATACACCTCTATAAAATTATTTAAATATTTTTTGTATATAAGTTTTTACTTCAAGTCCGATGTCAGCTTCAAACTGTAGCTCTGGCAGGATCTCAGTATATTTGAAGATTTTATTTGGTGCACACTGACCTTGGACCTGGGCTCATTACACAGCTGCAGCAAAACCTTTTTTTTTTCTAAAACTTCAGGCATGTCTGCAACCATACACATATCTTCAAATTCAATATAATAATTTTGTTCTTGGAAAAATAATTTCCAGTTTTAATGTCAGAATATTCAGTGTTGCAGACCAACATTTGGTCTGAAGTGCTGCCAACAAACTTGCTTCAGAAACACACCAGATCTGAGGGGCCCAACATTCACTTAAAGTAAACAAGAGCCAAAAGTCTACTGAACATAAACCAAACAAAATCTGAGAAAACCTTCCTTGCTCTTCCCCTCCCACACCACTCATAAAGAGAAATTAAAACTATTCCTTTCACTGAAGAAAAGCAAAGCTTACAACCTACCTAAGTCTACTTTTGCTGCCAACTCAGCCAGTAACTTTTGAAAATCTGTCTCATGTAGGGCCCACTCTTCCCCACTGTTTTTAAAATTAGAATACTGACTTATTAAAAGCTTCAAGAAATTCAGCCACCTTATCCAGGTTAAGCTTACCTTTAGTCCTATTAGCCATAATCCAATCCAAGCACTGGATTCTACACTTCACAAGCATTTGTTCATTTCACAATGAACACTTCTTTCATTGCTACTTTAAGCATTAAGTTGAACATTGAGATGCTCTGTCTGTAATCACTGGATACACTTAGAAAGAATTTCCCTGCAAATCATGATCAGTATTGTGAGGTTTTATAACCAAAACAAAACAAAAAAGTTACAGAAATATACATTTTGAACAACAAAGAACTCTTTATTTTACAAAATGTATTTCACCTTTTCAGTATTGCCTTTGTAAATGTACTTCATGCTGCAACTACTTACAGTAAAAACACGATTTGCAGCAAATTAAAGGTGCTCAACCAGTTCCAACAGTTTGATTTTTTTTTAAGGTACAATATTATGTAGTTGCACATTTGATTCTCAGATGTGGTCCTTTATTTGCTTTAGTTCGTTGAAATCACAGTGAGAACTTCTCATCAACTGCCTCAGGCCACAGATTTAATGAAGATATTACAAGCACAATCATTCTTTACTGCAAAATCTTTCCTTAAAGAAGCCAAAGGCTAGTGTTTCATTTATTCACTTGCTGCTGTATATGAAGGAGGAATTCATAGTATGATAAGGCTGATTCTGTTCTGTCTTCAATCATATTTTGCAGAAAACTTGATTTCAATGGACTCTCATCCCTTAAAAACAAAAATATAAGTGTTTGAGTGGAATTAACTTTTGCCATGAGCTACCTACCATGCATTAATAAAGTTACAGGTCAAGTGGCAAGACATTTCAAAAGCTTAAGGACATATGAAAAGAGGATTTCAAATAGCCTTTAGTAGTGATTAATCCTAATAACTGCTCTTACCAGCATTTACTTCATTTATCTGACATGACCTAAAGATTCTTCTGTGACATTTAGTCTTTTTTAGTCTTTTGAAATTCTAATTGGAGACAACTCATAAGTCATATCTGTAGTCAAACCTGTCAGGCACAGCACATACTATTGTTAAGAATTCCATTAAGAAAGTTCAGTATATGATATCCAAGTATGTATTGTTAACAGGTTGTTACAGAAGCAAAAAGACTGTTAAAAACCACTTACTTTATTATATATAGTATAGGAAAGAAAGGTCTCTGTTCTCTCAGCCAAGAAATGAAAGTTCGTGTCCTGATGGATTCTGCTGTTTCGAGTTCTGGGAGATGTGTCTAAAAGCCAAAGAGTTTCATTAATACAAATTTTTCAGAACAACAGTAAAAGGAACACTTCAACTAGCCCAACTCATTAGGTATAAAGAAAACCCAGACAGATACATTTTGTGATGTATAGTTTCAGTCTTGTCTTCTTTGAAGGGGCTTGAAATAGTCAAGAGTACTAAACTCTTATCAGCAATTAGCTGTCAGAATGGTGATGACTGAGCTGTGATTGATTCCTGTTTTATTGCAGAAACTAAAGGATTTCCCACTAACCCACTGTACTCACTATTTGCAAGCATTCTTAGTCTGCTCCCACAGGTCTGAGAAACTCAATCACTGTCAGCCTCTTCCTACTGAGTCTTCATGAGAACAAACTCCAAGAGGCAACAGCAATTATTTCTTTCCTTGGATCTGGATCTATACCACTAGAGGGCTAATAGCTGACTAGTGTATTTTAATTCTCATGCAAATGATATTCTGGCAGCACTGTACGTATGACTGATGAGCAGAGCAAGCACATACCATATTCTGTGGTACTGAGCCGTAATTTGGAACTCCAAGGACTTGGCTGATAAAACCCTGCCCACAGTTCTTCCCGATCCACAGAAACATCACCTGAAAGACAGCCATCAATAACAACATTAATCCAACCCAAAGCACACCTCAGCAGTCTCGCACATATTTTGGGTTCTCAGAAAGAACACACCAAGTAAATTTGGATACTTTTTTAAATCCCCCCCCACCACACAACTTACAGAGCCAGCATCCATAAGATAAGCACCATCCCTACTCAACTTCTCCACTGACAGCTGGAGAAGGGGTGGCTGAGGTATAGTTCTGTCATTTATGTTAAGAGCTCCCTAAAAGAAGAACGAAAAACAGTGGTTTACATCTTGATGCCAAAAACCAGAACAGAATGCTAAATAAGAGGATGATCTACTACACTGAACACTGGAGCTGGACCATTTTTCTCAGTTTAGCTCAAGCCATACTTAAAGTGATAATTTACTTTATTAATTAGTAATTTACTAATAAATCTTAATGTTTTATTTAGAGAGGGTGGATGTCATCAAATGTATCTTAGTTAATTAGTTCTAGAACTGGAATATCTGATTTGCTATGTACCGAAGATGTGATTTCTAAAATTGTTCAGGGTTTTTCATAAACATTCCCTGTTCTCAAAACTGCTTGATATTTTAAAATAAAGGAGGCTACAAAGGGACAAAAACCACATTATGATGTCTTTATGTATATGTGATTTTATAGCGCAAGATAATGACACAAGGCAAAGGTGAAATAAGATAGGAAAAAACTTTCCCCATCCATTCATAGCAAAGCACAGCTTCTCTACAGAATTCATCAATCCAGTTCCAAATAACAAATGCATAAATGCAACAAGTGGGAGAATATGAAACATTGCATTTTAGCTGTGCAGCTTTAATATTGAAAACTTGGGAGATTTCTAACACATTTACTTTCACATCACACAGATCTTTGGGATCAAACAGATTATGCAGCAAGGCCAAGACTCACCTCATCTGTGAGAGTATCGACTCTGTACAGACTGGGATGTGTCATGAGCATGAGGTAAACAAGGGGCTGGTTTTTCACCTGACACATGGTAAAGATGCGTTCATCCAAACGTGTGTTTGTCCCAGTTTGAAATGCTTTCTGCAAATAATCAGGCATTTAGTTTAACCATTAAAGCAAAGCAAGGTAAATTGCAAGATAAGACACATCGCCTACTGCTTATTTCTAACTTAAGTTTTAAAGATGTACCCTAAGTCTATTCTCATTGTATTTTACTTCTCCATAGTTCTCTTCAGTGTTTCACACAGAAATCATACAAGTCTCATTCCCATTTCTGGATTTTAGAATTAGCCTTGACCTGGCACCATCAATCCTCTCTTACAGCTGAGATGAAAGCACCCTGAAATGCTAACATACACCTCAAAAATGCTACTTGATGAAATTTAAAAGCATAAATATTGGAGCAGTTTACAATTGGCTTCAATGTACAGAATCTTAGGTCTGTATTAACAAGAAAGATAGTCCTGACTTGCTGGGACCAAAAAAAAAAGCTGTAAGTCAAAGTAGGGCTCACTCCTCCCACCTGACTGGATCAAATGCTTATCAAGCCTTTCACATGAAAAAGCTCAATATGAACATGCTGGTTAACTCCTAACCAAGATGTATAAATCCAAAACTTCTTTTTGAATCAAGAAACCAGTCTGTCTAACACTTAAATGACTTCTTGAAATTGAAATTCAATTAAAAAATTACACTGAGCAAATACTGTGAAATGCTTTAAACCTGTTGCAAGAACAGCCAGCCAACTCCCCCTCTGCCACACCCAGCTCTCTTCTAATCCACACTGAACTGCTCTGTGGCTCTACATTTCCAGAGACACACAAAATTGAGATTCCTGAGAAAACACTATCAGTACCCTGACACATTCTCTTCACTAGTCAGTGTCTTTTTTATTTTGCCATGCCATTGCTTAAAACATTTGTACTTTTGGTTTTACGCACACTTCTAAATTCCTGCTTTTGAACTAAATCATTCTCCATCAAAGAATTGTCCTTTTACTTCAGGCTGACCTGCCGAACAATCATCCTAATGGCTGGCTTCCTTTCCCCTCTTACCTGTTTTAAGAGTGCCAGTATATACAGTGGGAAGAGGCGCAGTGAGAAGGGAGCAGTGAGCCCGGGCTGTTGGATGCTCAGCACGGAGGAGCGGTAAGCAGCCAAGGAATCGATCACTGCATTGACCAAGGCATCCCGAGCATCGCTCAGCGTGGCGGAAACGGAGCGGTCCACAGCTGAAAACACAGAGCAAGGCTCAGTAAGAGGGGTTCCTCCCTTGGCAGCAATACAGCCACACACATTAACTTCTCTCACTCCATCATATATGTCAATGCAGCTTAAGCTTTTATTACATTCTAGGGGAAGTGCTTTGGAAAAAAGCTGAGGGCCCATGATGATGCACCAGACTAAGCCTAAGCCCAGGCGATTACACACAGCTGTACTGATCCTTCACCTAAGCCAAGCATTAAAACCAAAACTCTCTTAGGACTGCAACTTCGAAAGCAGTCTTAGAATGAGGGAGAATCTTTTCTTCTAAGCCAGAGGATTACAGCTCAGACCTTTAAGGATACAATCCACACATATCCAAACAAGCTCTTAGCACACTCACCCATATTGGCCAAGAGCCCTGTGATGGCCTGCACATCTGCCCCTAGGTACACTTCACTCAGTGTTGTGACAACAGGCAAGCACATAGTGTGGACACGAATTCGCCTTTCACCTGCAAGGAAAGACAACTGTAACCTCCATACTTGTTTCATGAAGCAATACTACAAATGCTACTCAATCTAACCTTACCTTTGCTGGAGGTGTACAGGAGAGCTGACTGAAAAGAAACAACTTGCATATCAGTAAGACTCTCTTCCACTGACATCTGCACAGCGTAGCCTGCATCTGGGTTTACGTTGGGTAATGACAACAAGTCTGTAGATCGTACAAAGAAGTTCCCATGGAAAGTATGAATGGAAAGACCTACAAGATAATAATGAATCAGTTTGGGTTTTATAGCTGTGAAGTACAGGCACCATATACAGATCTGCCATCAATGTATGACTCTACTGGAATGTTCCCTCTCAGTGAAATACATTCTCTTCAGAAAAGGTAAATACTGCAAACTGACAACCCATCCAAAGAATCCTCAAAGCCTAGCAGAAAGTGGGAATTAGCAAGGCAAATCAATTCATGGTAGTAGAAAGTATCTAGATTATAAAACTAGTCCCTTGTTGAAATAGTTCAGGAAAATTTCCAGTTTTGGCCATTATAAACTGGAACTTGGATGCCAGAAAACACACTGCAAATACAGTCTTAGAAAATTGTCTTATCCCTGGTACTGAATTTTACTTTTTTAATCTTTGCCTTTTAATAATTTGAGGTTACAAAATAGCTAGAATATCAATGAAAACATTCCCAAAGAG